CAAGATGGCGCCGTTGTACGTGGCTTGTCGTCTGTCTCTCCTCAAGTTGTTACTTTTTGTGCTATTTTTCTTGACTTTTGTTCAGATTGTGTCATCACTGTTTTCTTATGACCGCCAGACACTTTTAAATATTAATTCCATCGTGGGAAAAGTACTGTTTCATGACCTTTATGGACGATCCAAGACTTTTCCTCCACCTCACCTGGCATCCATACCTCTATTTCTACGGAATCCTTGTGTTGTGGTCGCCCGCAGCGGGCACCGTCGCAGGAGACGCGGCAGGAGGGGTGGGTTGCTTGTGAAGCTTTGGGCTCACTTCGCCTCTTCTTCATTCCAGTCTTCGCGCAAGATTCTAAGGAAATACAACTTTGTGGACATACGATGCCCCATGGAATATTCATACAGCTGGTTACGCGTCGTGGATACGGACACCGGCAGCGGCGCATTTCCTGGTCATCGGCGTGCAAAGATCTGTAGGCGTGGCAGGGTTCAGGAGAACCTCCGCTTCTTTGGCCGCACATCCCAGGATAACAGCCAGTGCTCCATCCGGATGGCTCTTCTGAACACTAGATCTGTCACAAATAAAACTTTTATTCTCCACAATTTCTTCTGCGCAAACTCTCTGGACTTTCTGCTGCTGACAGAAACGTGGCTGAGACCGGGCGATAACAGCTTGTTTTCTGATCTCTCCCCCTCGGGCTGCTCCTTCTTCAGCTCCCCACGTCTGACAGGCCGCGGTGGTGGTGTTGCCACTATCTATAAGGACAATTTTAAATGCAGACTTCTGCCCACCATCACTTACTCCTCCTTTGAACTTCAGATGTTTGTGATTGAGCTCACCCTGAATGTTTTATGTGCTGTTGCCTATCGCCCACCTAAATATAACAAGGAATTCATTCAAGAATTCTCTGAATTCCTTGCTGATATTATTTCTAACTATGACAGTTTTTTTATTTGTGGAGATTTTAATATTCGTATTTGTTGTCCCACTGACCCACTGGCTCTGTGTTTTTAAAGCTTTTAGCCTCTTTTAATTTAACACAATCAGTGAATTCACCAACACATCATCTTGGCCATACTCTGGACCTTATTATTTCTCATGGACTGTCCATTTCTCACTGTGAAATTTCTGAGTCTGCCATCTCGGATCATTTCCCTATTTTTTTCCAATTTACAGCCCCCCACCCAGCCAGGAGGCCTCTGGCTGCGGGGTGTCATCGCCGCTGTCTCACCTCAGCCAGTGCCCGACAGTTCACCACTGCTTTTATGGACTCACAGTTTTATTCAGTTGGTCCTGATGTTTCTCTGTGTCCCAAAGATTTCCTGTCATTGTTTTCTGATACCTGCACTGGGATCCTGGACTCTATTGCTCCGGTGAAGTTCAGACACCCTAAACCCAGAGCCGAGCCTTGGCTGAAAGATCCTCCTGCATGCAAACTCAGGAGACAATGTAGAAGGGCTGAAAGACAGTGGAAGTATGACAGGCAACATGATTCTTTGGTTTTATTAAGGAGAACTCTTGTTCTGTATCAGAGATCTGTTAATGATGCAAAATCACAATTTCTGTCTAACATTATCACAAACAGTAGCCACTGCCACAGGGTGTTATTTAATACAATTAACTCTGTTTTAAATCCACCCACCTCAGTCTTACCTGATGCCTCAGCCTCCACCTGTGAGAACTTTCTCTCCTTTTTAATTGATAAAGTTGCATCGGTTAGACAAGCCACAGGTACACCTGCTACTTCTGTTTCAGAGTGTTCTTTTATCTCTGCTGGTTCTGCTTTATTTGACCAGTTTGAACCAGTGTCCTATTCCCTCTTGGACAAAATCGTCAAATCCATTAAACCCACCAACTGCCCCATTGATTTTCTCCCCACCAGATTATTGAAAGAGGTATTTAATATTGTTGGTCCTTACCTTCTTCCTTTTTTCAATTCGTGTTTGTCCAATGGAATTATGCCTTCTGCTTTTAAACATGCAACGGTCCGCCCCCTTCTCAAAAAAAACAAATCTTGATCCCTTGGTTTTATCAAATTTTAGACCTATTTCTAATTTATCCTTCCTCTCCAAAGTTTTAGAAAAAATGGTTCTTACGCAAATTCAGCCTTTTCTGGAAAAAAGCACAATCCTGGATAAATTTCAATCTGGTTTTAGATCCCGACATAGCACAGAATCTGCATTATTGAAAGTTCATAACGACATAGCTCAGTCAGTTGACTCTGGGTGCCCAGTAGCTCTGGTGCTCCTCGACCTCACAGCAGCCTTTGACACTGTGGACCACTCTGTCCTTCTGTCTCGCCTCCATGATTTTGTTGGGATTCGCGGTACTGCTCTGAAGTGGTTCACGTCCTATTTATCTGATAGAACCTTTTCTATCTTGTTCAATGGCTCCTCTTCCTCTACAGCCCCTCTTCTGTGTGGGGTGCCCCAGGGTTCCATTTTGGGTCCTTTGCTCTTTTCATTATACATGTTGCCACTTGGATCTATTATAAGACAACACAATGTCAACTTTCATTTTTATGCAGATGATTTGCAGATCTATTTACCATTAAGGCCAGGATCCAATAACCCAATGCTTTCTCTCTTCGACTGCATCTCTGCAATCAAACATTGGCTGAACAAGAACTTCCTGTTTTTAAATGACAGTAAAACAGAATGGATTTTATTTGGTGACAAAGATGCATCTGGCCTGGGAAATTTGGACATTAACTTCAGTGACTGTGTGAATAACCTTGGGGTGACCTTTGATAAGGCTTTACACTTTGACAAACATATTGCCTCTGTTGTCCGGTCGGGATTCTTTTATTTACGCCTTTTAAAAAAGGTCAAACCCTTTTTAAATTGTCGCGACCTGGAGAAAGCTGTTCATGCTTTTATCAGTTCTAGGCTCGATTATTGTAACGCTCTGTATGTTGGTGTACCACAGTCATCACTGAGTCGCCTCCAGCTTGTACAAAATGCAGCAGCGCGCCTTTTAACCAACACTCCTAGATGGGACCACATCACACCTGTTTTATTCTCACTACATTGGCTCCCTGTCCGTTTTAGAATAGATTTTAAACTTTTATTATTTGTTTTTAAAGCTCTGAATGGGCTTGCTCCTCCTTATATAACTGAGATGCTAAGTTTCCCCGCCCGCTCCAGATCTTTGAGGTCAGACAGCCAGCTCCTGCTCTCTGTTCCAAGGACTAAATATAACGCTGGGGTGACCGTGCCTTTTCTGCGGCCGCACCTCGACTCTGGAATAAGCTCCCTCTTGATCTGCGTCAGATTACTGAACTTGGTCCTTTTAAATCGAAGCTTAAGACTTTTTTATTCCAACAAGCTTTTAGTACGTAAATATGTGGTGACATTTCTGGTTTTATTTGTGCTATTATGTTGTGTTTTCTTGCTTTTAACCTATTGTCATTTTAAGTACTGTTTTTTATTAAGCACTTTGGTCACCATCACCATGGTTGTGTAAAGTGCTATAGAAATAATTAAATAAATTAAATAATATATACACATACATATACACATACATATATATACACATACATATATACATACATATATACACATACATATACACATACATATATCAGAGTCAGAGTTCCTTTATTGTCATTCGCACCTCATGTGGTACATGTGGTGGAGCGAAATTATGTACACAGGGTCCCAGTTACATCCAACAATAAAATGTATAAGAAAAACAGTAATAACATCTAAGATATGAACTAAGAAAAACATCAACTAAATATACACTATAAGCACTCATAACATAAAAACATTGAACATCAGCACAAACATGAACGAGTCTGTGAGCAGATGTGCACGCATGAACACATCAACATTGAAACAGATCAGCAGCAACATGAAACAGATCAGCAGCAACATGATATGGTTTTTCACAGTGATTATTCTAGTTAGAGATTCAGGAGTCTAACAGCCTCAGGGTAGAAGCTGTTCCTCAGTCTAGTGGTTCTACACTTAATGCTCCTTAACCTCCTTCCTGAGGGGAGTGGGGCAAAAAGTGTGTGTGCTGGGTGAGTGGGGTCCTTCATTATGCAGGTGGCCCTCTTCCTGCATCTTGAGGTGTAGATGTCTGTGATGGTGGGGAGGCTGATTCCAACAGATTTCTGTGCAGCCTTCACCACTCTCTGCAAAGCTTTTCTTTCTGCAGCTGTGCAGCCTCCATGCCACACATTGATGCTCGAGCACAGGATGCTCTCCACTGCACACCTGTAGAAGGAGGTGAGGACTGAGCTTCCCAGACCAGCTCGCCTCAGCCGTCTGAGGAAGTAGAGTCTCTGATGAGCTTTCTTGATCAGGCTGGTGGTGTTGTTGCTCCAGCTGAGGTTGTCATTCATGTGTACACCCAAGTACTTGTAGCTGGAGACCACTTCCACCGCAGATCCTCTTATGTTCAGGGGGGTGTAGATGTTTTTGTTCCTTCTGAAGTCCACAATCATCTCCTTTGTCTTCTTCACATTGATGTGAAGGTTATTCTCTTTGCACCAGCTCTCCAGGTGTTCCACCTCTTGCCTGTAGCTGGACTCATCATTGTTTGTGATGCATCCCACCACCGCTGTATCATCTGCAAACTTTACAATGTGACAGCCTGGATGGGTAGCTGCACAATCATACGTGAGCAGAGTAAACAGGAGGGGGCTCAACACACATCCCTGAGGAGAGCCAGTGCTAAGGGTTATGGTGGTGGAGGAGAGGTTGTGGATCCTCACTAACTGTGGTCTGTTTGTTAAAAAGTCTAGTACCCAGTTGCAGATGGAGGGGCTTAGTCCTAGTGTGGATAGTTTGTCCATCAGGGTTTGGGAGATCATGGTGTTGAAGGCGGATGTGAAGTCCACAAAGAGCATACGGACGTAAGAGTTTTTCTGCTCCAGGTGGTTGAGCACAGTGTGGACCACAGAGGAGATTGCATCCTCTGTTGATCGGTTCTCACGGTATGCATACTGATGAGGGTCCTCGTTGATGTTGATGGTTGTTTTGATGTGAGTCATGACCAGTTTTTCAAAGCATTTAGCGACTATCGGGGTGAGGGCCACTGGCCGATAGTCATTCAGACCAGTCACTGTAGAGCTTTTTGGGACTGGGATGATGGTGGCAGTCTTCAGGCAGGTGGGAACTGTCTCCAGGGTAAGTGAGGTGTTAAAGATGTCTGCCAGCACCTCACAGAGCTGATCAGCACATTCCTTCAACACTTTTCCAGGGATGTTGTCTGAGCCAGTTGCCTTGTGCGGATTAATCCTCCTGAAGGTACTCCTTACTTCTGCTGAGGTCACGCTGAGATGCTCTACGTCCGGTGGTGAGGTGAGTCTGGTGCTGGGTGGTCTGTTCGGGTCTTCAAAGCGTGCATAGAACTTGTTGAGGGCATCAGGCAGAGATGGGTCTTTGGGGCATTATTCACTCCTTCCTTTATAATAATAAGGAGGGAATTCAAGATGGCCGCCGGGCAAGTATGTTTGGGAGTGTCTCTGCAAACAATTAACTGAAAAGTGGACTTAACTTTGGATAAAACTGCTTCAAAAACGACAAAATACTGAAAACTGAGTGGAGAAGGACAGTGAGAAAGGAGGACAAAGAGAGAGGAAGGAGGTGAAAGGCAGGCCGTGGAGTTGGCTCCGCCGAGCTGGGGAGCGACGGTGTGGGGCTGCTGTGGAGACCTTCTGCTGGGGTTGTGCCTGCTTTGGAAGGCGGGGGTTCGGGTCTGCGGCCGTTGGGTCTGTGTGCAGCTGGAGGCTGGTCTTCGGTGGAGGATTCTGCGGGCTCCTGGGGCCTTTTGGTCTGTTCTCCATCTGACGTTGGATTCGGGTGCAGTGGCCACTGGCTACCACCAGAGGGCAGCTGTGACTTGGGATCGGGCGTCGGCTTTGCTTGGCTGTGTATACATCTCCAGGTCGTGAGTACACTTAAATATGTCAATTAAATCCAAACGTGGAAAGAAAGAACATTTGGACGAACTAAATGTAGAAGACATGGAGGACATTAAAAAGTCTTTGAATTTTATGAGTATGGAACTGGCCAAGCTGACATCAAAATAAGAACTATTAATTGGATTGTTTGAGGAAGTAAAACAATTTAAACTTCAAATAAGCGAAAAGGACAATAAAATAATTGAACTTGAAAAAAGAGTTGACAACATGGAAAGAAATGCGAGACAAGAGAATCTGATTATAACTGGTTTTACAGTAAAGTCCTTTGCAAAAGCTGTGACGGGTTCTGCAACAACAGAAGACG